TTCCAGTGTCTCAATACCCACTTGCTCCTTTGACATCCCACCGCCCCTCCTGTAATATGGTGTTTATATACAGTGGTAATTGCTACAATGTACACTTGTCTAGTTTGGTATATAACTTGCATCATGGAATTTTGAATGTGTTTGTTCCCTACCTCACTACAGGACCCAGCCATAGTGTAGCAATAAGTCTAAGGAACCCCAGTATATGGCAGGGGATGCAGTCATTCCACACTCCTGGAAGTGTAACCCCATGTGAAATTTCTTCAAGCCACCATGGAGGAATAGGTAAGTATAAAAGCCTCTTGTTTTGCAGGTCTTGTTTTGCCACATCTTTTAAACCAAGGGACAGTAATTTTAAGCTTGACCAGAGGTTTTAAAGTTCCTCATTCTATTAAGAAGGATAAAAAAATCACCTTGTAAAAGAAAAAGTAGTGTACTTACCTGTGCTTGCCATCTTTTTTTCTTGCAGTGTTACGCCAGCTTACCCACTTCTAGAAGTGTAAGATACCTATACGTCCTTTGCTGTATGCTGTGTTTCCCTTCACTGAGCTCTACGTCACTACTGTGTCATGTAGAATTGTAAAGCCATAACAGCTAGCGGATGGAACCACAACACACAGCAGCAGATTCTGCAGCTGATGTAGGTCTGCAAGAGATCAAAGAACGAAGTCAAAGGTGACAGAAATTGAAAATAAATTTTTTTTTTTGTAAGTCATGGCTGGAATTTTTAGGGCATAAAGCATTGTACAAACTTATATCTATTGCTGTCATTCTGGCGTGCGCAGCGATATGTAATGTGTATCGCAGTCGTCATTTTCATGTGTAGGCACCGCAGCATGTGCTTTTACATTTGAAAGATTGGGGGGGGGGGGGGGGGAGTTATATGCTTGGGTGTAACTTTAATTTTTTTAAAAAAAAATATATATATATATATATATATTTTTTTTTTATCACAAAGGGGACAAAAACTTCCCTATGTGATGATTTTTTTGGTGACAGGTGATGCTGAGTCCGGAGTTTCAAGTTTGGAATTCTGAGTCCAGAGTTCCAAATCCTGAGTCCGAAATTCTGAGTCTGGAATTCTATCTTGAAGTCCGGAGTCCCCAGTCTGGAATTTGGAGTCTGGAATTCGGAGTCTGGTATTGCGAATCTGGAGTCCCGTGTCCGAGATTCCGAGTTTGGAATTCCGAATCCTGAGTCCGAAATTCCAAGTCTGGAATTCTGAGTATTGAATCCCGAGTCCGGAATTCTAAGTCTGGTATTGCGAATCACGAGTCTGGAGTCCTGATCCCGGGATTTTTTTTTTTTAAGTCATGGCTGGAATTTTAGGGCATAAAGCATTGTACAACTTATATCTACAGGGATGTGGACATTTTTGAAAAAACTACTTGTCCAGGGACTACATCGGTGTCTAATGCCTATGAAATGTGTTGGCCTTGGACCCTTTGTTTCTTGGGTAATGTTTACAATAAAGTTGTTGTGCTAATGCCAGGGCATGAGAAGTGACTGATGTGTCATTTCTCTAGGTCAAGGGAACAGAGTCACAAAATATTCTGCTGAGAGCAAGATAAAACCTTGTTTATGGAATGAACCGTGTTTATGACATCTAATAACTTCACATTAGGAGATAAAAACCTGTTTAACCCCGTGGCGCCGGCACCTCCCAGCCCTTTAAGGGTTTCAGAAGCTGGGGGGCGGGGTTTAGGGTCATGTGACCGATGTGACATGCCGTCACGGCGGTCACATGATCGTGAAAGGTCCCGATCGAAAGAGGAGATCGGGACCTTTCCGTTAGTACCGGACATGTGTGCTGGGAGCATGTAGGGTGCGCGTTCTCAGCACATATGTTTTTTTAATAGAACGCAAATTTGCGGGCCGCTTGGCGTCTAGGCCCAGAAACTGGGAGGCTGCACATTTCCATTCGGTTGGCGCCAAGAGGTTAAGGACATCTAAGTTAGAAATTCTGAAGTCTGGAGGAGATGAAAAGAGGTTTTGGGGTAGATAAGAAGCAACAGTGTGACTTTTCAGATAAGGAATATGGTGGTTGAACATGACTTATCCTCGCGGAACCCTTCTGCTAGCCCCTCCTGTGGTGGGTGGTGCCGTCCACCACTATTGGACCGCTTCCAGAAAAAGGGTTTATAAGGCGGAGGTCCAGGCAAGACCAGTGGAATCTCCCCTAGTGGCCAGAGGACGCTCTGACGCTGGGATTTTTACCAAGGCTATATGGGTTCATCGACTGGTCGCGCCTACGGCTTCCCCGTGACCCCCTGGGCAGTTTGGTTCCCATGGGATTTGTTCCTCCCAGCTTCCACATGGCTTTGGTAATGTATTAATTCTATGCTGTGACGCTGTCAAGCGATGTGTCTTTTTCATGCTGTAATGCTCACATTATTATTGGTGTGTATTATTATGCAGATTGTGATGACTAAAATATATATCCTCTTGTGTGTCGTGTGATAATAAAAGTGGAGGTTTTGACAGTACAAGAATATTGCAGTTGGATTCTGTTATTTCTTGGAGTGCCGGGTGAATGCTATGATGTGCCAGGGCAGGTATTCATTGGGTAGTTGGTCTTTCGCAATGCATAGAACATGTAATGGTTTAAATGCTGATTAAAAGTACCTGCACGACGGCATGTTGATTGTGTGCGTGTATATGACCTGTTTTTAGTTATTGCAACCAGCATCACTATTACAGTCTCACAATCCACTTGTCCCTCCTGACAATCTACTTGTCCTGATAAAAAAAAAAATACATTTTAACCAAAACTGTATCTAAATCGGCTTTAAGTAATGTCTGGTGCTTTAAAAAAAAAAAACGAGGGGGGGGGGGGGGGCTTTATGGCTACCTAAACGTTTAATATTTTTAACATTGCGCTTTTTATTTCCTCCTCCCTTCCCTGCCTGTCTCTAGCACCGCACCTGAGCACTAGCAGGGAAGGGAGAGACCTTGCAGTGTAATGAGCACTGATTGACTGCTTGTTAGGAAATCCTGTCCAGCTTATCCTTTATCCTTTTTGCTGCCAGAGCTGTTTTTGCGTTTTTTGCACACGTTTAAAAAAATAATATAAGTCCTGAAGATTACACACAAAACTCCAAAAAATGATATATTTTCTGAAATCAGAGACCCTAGAGAATAAAATAATGGTAGTTCCAATTTTTTATGTCACACAGGTTTAGGAAACACAAAATTTCAGTAAAAAATACACTTAAGGTAATTTTAGGGCACAAAAAGCTATAAATTATCTAATTGTTTTGTAAAATCTAAAAGATGAGGCTAGATAAACAGATATCCAACATGTCAAACATTTAATTTGCGTGCGCTAGTGAAACGGCAACATATAGGTGACGCTTTTAAAGCCCCTTATAGGTCATCAGTTTAGCGTTACGGAGGTGGTCTCAAGCTAGAATTATTGCTCTCATTCTGGCGTGCGCCGCGATATGTAACGTATTGCAATCGTCATTTTCATGTGTAGGCACCGCAGCCCGTGCTTTTACATTTGAAAAATTGGGGGGGGGGGGGGGGGTATATGCTTGGGTTTACCTTTAATTTTTAAAAAAAAAAATAAAAACATTTTTTTACTTAACTTTTTTTTTTATCACAAAGGGGACAAAAAGTCCCCTATGTGATGATTTTTTGGTGGCAGGTTCTCTTTTTTGAGACATCCAGGGTCTAAAAGAGATCCCGAGTATTGAATCCTGAGTCTGGAGTTCCGAATCCCGAGTATTGAATTGAGTCTGGAGTTGCGAATCCCGAGTATTGAATCCTGAGTCCAGAGTTCCGAATCCCGGGTATTGAATCCCGAGTCTGGAGTTCCAAGTTTGGAATTCTGAGTCTGGAATTCTACGTTGAATCCCGGAGTCTGGAATTTGGAGTCTGGTATTGCAAATCCCGAGTCTGGAGTCCCATGTCCGAGATTCCAAGTCTCGAATTCCGAATCCTGAGTTCAGAATTCCAAGTCTGGTATTGCGAATCCCGAATCTGGAATTCCAAGTCTGGTATTGTGAATCCTGAGTCTGGAGTCCCAATCCCAGGATTCCGAATCCGGAACTCTGAGTCTGGAATTCTGAGTATTGAATCCCGAGTCCGGAATTCCAAATCCTGAGTGCGGAATTCTAAGTCTGGTATTGCGAATCACGAGTCTGGAGTCCCAATCCCAGGATTCTGAGTCCCAAGTCTGGAATTCTGAGTCAGAGATTCCGAGTCCGGAACTCCGAGTTCTGAGTCTAGAATTCTGAGTATTGAGTCCCGGATCTTGGGTCCCGAGTCTTGGGTCCGGAGTCCCGGATCCCGAGTCTTGGGTCCGGAGTCCCGGATCCCGAATCCAGAATTTTGAATTCAAAGTCCGGAATTCGGAGTCCAGAGTCCCCAGTCCGGAATTCCAAGTCTGGTATTGCGAATCCCGAGTCCGGGGCCCCGTGTCTGAGATTTGGAGTCCGGGGCCCCGTGTCTGAGATTCGGAGTCTCCAGTCCGGAATTTGGAGTCCGCAAGTCCAAGTCTGCTATTGCGAATCCCGAGTCCGAGATTCCAAGTCCGGAATGCCAAGTCTGGTATTGCGAGTCTGGAGTCCTGCTTCTGATATTCTGAATTCTGAGTCTGGAATTCTGAATTCCAAGTCTGGTATTGTGAAGCCCGGGTCTGGAGTCCCATGCCAGAGATTCCAAGTCTGGAATTCTGAATCTCGTATCCAAGATTGAGTCTGGAATTCCAAATCCCAAGTCCGGAATTCTGAGTCCAGAATTCTGAGTATTGAATCATCTTTTAAAATTTATAACCTACATTTTACCATTGTGTATGCGTAAATGGGGTCCAGAAGCAAATGCTCAGTATTGTTTGTTTTTTTTTTTCCTCATTCAGTAGTGGTTTTTTTTCCACTTCAATTTTTCAGGTTTGGTTTAATTGCAATTCAGTTAAATTTTTTTACCAGGTTCTATTTAATTACACACCTAATCTTCTATTTCTTGTTTTTGTTAGGTCCACTCCATGATCCACAGTGATGATGGCACCGCCTTACCCCGCAGACTGGGATGATGATGAGCGGATGTCGTTTTTATTCTCTGCCTTCAAAGCAACACGAGATGTGGACAGTGCACACTGGGACAGTAAAATGAAATTTTGGATCCCACTGATTTTACAGCATTCCAGGGCTCAAGGAATGGTCAGCGTCACACTGCGCCAGCTGCAGGCACACTTCACCCGCAAGGGCAGCACACCATTGGGTTTGGCAACGGTAATCCAAGAGATGCTCAGGTGAAGATTGCATAATGGTTTGTATTTAGGACTAAAAATTACAGGGTTTTTTACATATATTTTTATATGTGTAAGGGAGTACCTTTTTTAAAAGGCTGATTTATCAATGAAAAATTTGAATCTGCACTTTGCAGTAACACATGCATAGCTGTGTTGCAGAGCCATTCACTTTGAATGGTGTTCCAGCCTGCTAAGGCAATGCACTTGCATTGTCGGATGTAGCAACAAACCATAGTGTGCTGTGTTATAAAAAAAAGAGTCATCATGTGCGATTTAGGCACGTTGAAGTGCATTGGCAGCCCTGTAATTTTGAATAGGCTGCCTGAACGCAATGAACGTTAATAATTCAGTGCATCACAAAACTCCTTTTTTGTTTTCTTCAGCGGAATTTTATCTGAAGAGTACAAAAGTACTCTTCATGTTGCTGTACAGCAATGCAGTGTACTGTGCTGCTGTATACTGCCATGCGATTTCTGTACAGTGTGCTGTGATAAAATTCAGCAAGTCTGCATTTTTTTGCAGCATACTGCAGCGCCGCTCCAGGTTGCATTGCAGTGTGTTGAGACACATAGAAAACAATAGTTTTTTGTGTGTCCCTGCAGTGACAGGTATTTTACAAAGCTGTAAAATGCCTGTCACTGCATTATTTGTCAATTCAACCATACTGTACACAAAGGCAGTGATCCTTCAGATATGCATTATTGGCTTATATCTGTTCAATAATCATTCAGTTTCCTGCTGAGAGCAGCAAACCCACAGTGTAGGCTGCTTACCTCTCTCGGCAGAATAAACACATGCTCAAGCTAACTGTAGAAATATCTCCCATTATCTAATTAATAATGAAGTTCCAAGCTTTCTTTCCTTGGGGACGGGTTTTTTTCATTAAAAATTATTTAGGAGATGGTGTTTTTGTTCATTTGTGTTACCAATGCAACGGTGATTATTCCCAATTAAAGCATGGCAAGCAGAGCAGTTCATTTCATTGTTTTATACCCCAACAGCCAGCTTTCCATCCTGATACTCTGCAAGAGATGGAAAACATGACCTGCCATGGAGACTGGTCTGGGGAGCAGGAAGACAGATTAGCTGTAGCTTTTAAAGTGTTACTAAACCCACAACAGTAAAATCAGTCTGTATATGCAGTAAAGCATGCTTGTTATACTCACTGTGGAATATAAGGGGTTAATGCTCTGCATTGTGTAAAAACGCTGTTTGATCCTGACTTCTCTGATCCTCCCCTTCTTCCTGTGCTCCCCTCTTATCTCCTGATAAGCCATATGTTGTGGAGACACTGCACATGGTGTGTACTGCTGAAGAGGTTTTTTTTTCTTGGGAGAGTGCATGTGATCAGCACAGGGCCAATTAGCACTGCCCAGAAAGAGGTCAGGGGTTCTGCATCCTCCTAGAGAAAACTCCTCCTACAAGCTTTACCCAGTGCTCTGCTGAACACTGATAGAAATCACAAGACTGCTCTAACTGCTGATGAGAAAAGGTATTTAGCAGTTTATATTTACTAAAATAATTGCATTTCCATGTTCTGTGTACTGTGGGAGACCAGGTATAGTGAATGCAGGGTCCTGGGTTTAGTAACACTTTAAGCTCTAACTTGCTTTAAAACATTGACAACATATATCTAGTTGACACAGTCAATATTTTAAGTACTAATGTTTATTATTAGGGCTTTAAGTTTTTTTTGTTTTGTTTTTTTCCCTGTTCTGTTGTGGCAGACGTGGTTGCCTGCAGCAAGAGTCGGATTTTGTGTCTAGGATCTCCAGTGGCTGGATCTCATGGGGCATGAAGCAAATGGTCATCAAGCCTTTACAGTGGACCCTGAGCGCAGTTCTAGGTGGGCAGATTAATCCAGATGATCCATTCGTGATTCTCGATGCCTTAAAGGTGCATAGTTACATTGACTTCTATTGTGTGATCCAGCATGCCATGTCAAATTCTGTATTGGTATTTTCTGCTTCATTGTTGTAAAGTCAATATTTTTGATTTACTTGTTTGTCCAGTTCGTCTTGGTCATTTTGGTAGTCAAAAGAAAAAGATGCCAGTAGGTAGGATTTATGTACTTTCACATAAACCTGTCAGTACTTGTCAACATAAGGTATAATCAAAATTGGTTTATGTGTGCTTGGAAAGTACCCTAGACCCTAGGCTGTGTACAGGGCATACATTTATGTCCAAGGTGGCACTAAAAAGAGAGAACAGATGAGGGATACTTGAGAAAACCAGAAAGAAAAATGGAGTAATAATTACAGGTGTAGACATAAAGAACATGGGAGAAAGGGAACAGGCATAGAAGAGAGATGCTGATGGAGGGGAAGAAGCATGGTGTTCAAAAGCAGTCACTGTAGATCAAGGGTGTCAAACTGGCGGCCCTCCAGCTGTTGAGAAACTACAAGTTCCATCGTGCCTCTGCCTTTGGGAGTCATGCTTGTAACTGTCAATCTTGCAATGCCTCATGGGACTTGTAGTTTGGCAATAACTGAAGGGCCGCCAGTTTGACACCCGTGCTGTAGATGGATAGAGAAGATGTACTAATGGATGGATTAAAGAGCAGAGCAGGGGAGTACATTAAACGGGCAATTGGGAAAAGATTTTCCAGAAAAGAATGGCTACAGAGCAAGGTAAAGAGGCTTAGGAGAGCAGAAACCAGGAGAAGAAAGCCGGGGGAGAAGGAGCCACTGTGGAGGGGATTACAATGCCAAGGATGGGAAGGGAGGGGCAAAGAAGGGGCCATAAGTAATACTAAGAAAGGAGGGCATAATGCTAAATAAGAGAGCAGAGAGGGAGGTGCTACAGGCTCCTTCAGGGTGTAAAGATAAATTTAAATCCTCCAATAACACCAACAGGATAAAAGAAATGCTCTTATATTATACCAGGGGTGTCAAACTGCAGCCCTCCAGCTGTTGCTGAACTACGAATCCCATAAGACATTGCAGGGCTGATAGTGAAAAGCATGACTCCCAAAGGCAGAGGCATGATGGGACTTGTAGTTTTTCAGCAGCTGGAGGGCCGCAGTTTGACACCTGTGTATTATTATACAGTGTAGTACGAAGAAAAGTGACCTCCTACTTGAAAAATATGTGATGCAGCATGCATTTGGAATTAGTTTTCTCTTTAGCTCCCTGTAACACAAAAAATAGTGAAAGCTGCCAGTGATGCCCACCTGCAGCTTGCTATGATGGTGAAGGAACTATGCTACACTGCTCCTGAATTCAGAGCAGAGTACCACAGTGGGATGAGAAAATCTTGCAGGATATCAAAGCTATCAGCATTGTCATTGCCGACTATCATAAGCCGGCAGCACCTGTCCACTGGATTGACAGAACTAATTGTGCTGCTTAAGCCCTCCCAGTGGGGGGCTGCAGTGTCTGGGAAGGGGAGCGTGTGAGACCCAAATGAAGCAGGACTTGGCTCAGTCAGGGAAGGTAAAGAAAGTTTTTTTTGCTTACGCTTTGAGGCTTATGCATCATATAGTAACTGGCTTTGGCCAGTTGTTGACTTGTTCAAACTTTCATACATGAGCCATAGTTGTTCTTTAACAATACTGTGTGTGTGTGTGTGTATATATATATATATATATATAAATATTATATAAAATTTGTGTACAGTATATGTGTGTATATATTGAAAACGGGGTGAAAATTGTTCTCTTCTCTTCCCAGGAGCAGGCAGAGCTGGTGTTGCAGAAATACCAGTCCTCTCCACTCAGTTCTACCTCCTTGTTGTTAGATGATGAAGTATACACACTCTGCAAGGATCAGTTTCCAGAAAGGGATGCATTTAACCTGGTTATATTACAACTGCAGCGAGACAAGAAGATCTGTGTTTTGCAAAGACATGGGGAGAAGGTAAAAACAGTGCACCCCATTCAGTAAAATCCTGTATAGGCGATTGTAACCCTTCAACACCCCATTTATGAATTTGTTTATTCTCTTGTAGCTTGTGAAGTTTGTACAGGGTGGAAGAACTCAGGTCACCCCAATAGGGGAATCTGATTTGGGTATTTATGAGTTGCAAAAAAGTCAGAAACTGCTTTCAGAGAGAGTTCAGAAGGCGAGCGATGAGTCTGATCGGTAAGTACGGATGTGTATGGCTTCCTAAATACTTTCAAAGAGAGGTGGAGAGAGCAATAACAGACAGCAGCTGTGGAAGTAATTCTTCCTTTTTTTGTATTTATTAGTGATGGCTTGAACTAGCATCAAATGCTGAACTCTGGGGAAAAAGAAAAATGTTTCCTTGCAGCAGGGCTGTCTGCACAGGCAAGGGTTAAATGCTTGTTTAGGTCTAGGGGGCTGCAAAGCGGTTTTACCAGTACCATGAGCCAAGGTATACTTTGCCAGCACAGCGTGTATCTTTGAAAAAAATGTCCAAACATTTATTCAGGTGATTATAACAGTGGTAAAGTGCAGCATTTCAGGGCCTTCGTTAAGCCAGCCATGGACAGTTTTAATATCAGCCAGTTCAGCAGGGACCGCCCAAGATTCAAACCATGTATGGGCAGGCTGAATGTACCCAAGTTGACCAATCATTTTAACTTGTGTACATTCAGCCTGTCGGATTTTATATGCAATTATTATTAGTGGCTATTATAGCACACAACAGAAAATCGCTCCATCTATGGCTGGCTTTCGGCATGTGATAAGTGCATAATACAGGACAAAAAACATTTAAAGTGACATCCACCAATTGAAGACCAGTATAGGAAGCCACTCCCTGACTTTTGATTTCTTGTGACGCCATAAAACTCAAGAAAAAGAATGTTACTGACTGGATAAATGGCCCAGCCTCACAATATATCACATAGCTAAAAGTAGTGGATGCAGATATTGCCGAAAATGTATAAGGTAGGTAATAAGCAGTTCCTGTTCTTGTGTGAACATTTAAAAAAAAATGCCATTGGAACAATGTTTGCACATCCTGTCTTCTAGTACAGTGGAAAAAACCGATACTGTTGTGTATTGGGTGAATATAACTGATTTGATGGGAAATGTACACATTTATTGCTGCCCCCATTGTTTTAGAGGAGTTCTCTCAAACACTGCACTCAGGCTGCGTCAATAAAAGTCAACAATATCTTGACCTTTTAAAATATTTGACCTATGACATGAATGATACTACAGTGCCATCCAGAGTTTGGGATTAGATTATTTTCTCATAGAAACTGATGTAGAAAGGAAAAGGGATACACCCATATGGGAAGGGCTATCCAAACTTTCTACAACAAAAAAAAAGCTGCATAATCTGAAAGGGGCTCTATGACACAAAGAAGAGTCAGTGTCAGAGGGACTCCATAAGACCAAAAGATTATGTGGGGGGGAGGTTCTCCATAATTCCTAAAACAAAGAAGATTGTGCCAGGAGGGACTCCATAGATTTCTTAAGACCAAAAATGCTTGAGCAAGAGGGGACTTCACCTGGGGATGACACAAAATATACACAAGAGAACCTGCTTTCATGCAATTGCTTGAGTAGCCTGAAGTTCTGGTGGTCTACGGAGATTGTGAATCTGCTGTAACCCAAGCCAAGTGACTTTTTAATTTATCTCAATAACATACACACCATTGTCAATGCTCCTTTTGCTAGGATGGTTAGATAGCTTGTGTATGTGTGTTGTATGCATAGTTATAATACTCTGTATGTCTTGTATTGTTTTCCTACAATTGAAAGTAGTTTGTATATGCGGTATGCTTTCTTAGTAAAACCACATTAATATATTGCAAGGTGATTATTTTTTTTTTTTTCCCTTTTAACCAAAAAGATACAAACAAAATGCCTTGAGGAACATGACTTGTAGCCATCTATCACTTTCTCTGACCATGTGAGATGCTGAATACGTTACATTGATGACATTTTCCTCATTTGGGCTGGTAATGAGTTTGAATTTTTCCCTTTTTTGTTGATTTCTGAATAACAGGGTATTTGGCTGTGATCATCTGAATAAACGTTTGGACATTTGGTGTGCTGGTTATATATACTTTTACTTTAGAAAAACCCATTACCTTGCTGATTATCCATATTTTCTATTTTTTTTCCCATTCCTTGTCAGAGGACAGAGTATTCTGATCTGTGCTCTTTTTCTGCCACTTACTGGCAACAATGAATGAGGACTGCTACATTGTGCCTGTAGCAAATAAGAGAAAAACCCTTGATGTGCAAGGGTTGAACTGTTGTCCAAATTGAGTAATGGATGGGCTTTTTTTGTTCATTATTCACAGGCTAAAGGAACAGGCAATAAGCTTTAAGAGAGCTGGAAATAAGCAGCAGGTATGAATCATGTTTCTTCTACACTTTGTTGTCTTATTGGGATTCTGAACTCCTTTTTAAACCTTAGAATAAATGTTCCGCCTAAGAACAGACACCACAAGAAGCCTGAGCTATCCCAGAAAGTCCTCATGTTCCTCTCTTTGGACTTTATTCCCATGGACTTTAGATTCTGTGTACAGTAAACTTTTACAACAATTTGCAAAGTTTTCAGCAGACTTCCAGCAGCTTTGTTGAAGCATTTAAAGTGTAATTTCACCTTTTCAGAAAAAATTAAAATGTGACTACAAAGTGCTGGCCAATCAGAATCACTCTGATCTGTTACAGAACCCAACTGACAGTTGTGTGTTCCCATTCAGTATTGGTTTGAAGCAGGCCTCGGGCAGACTGCAAGCTACTCTGAACTATTTGAAATGAGAGGAAACTTAATCCCAGCTTCTAGATGATTTAACTCTTTGTTTGAATAGTGTTCAAATCTAGTTTACAACCTATAATGAGATTTTCCAGCAGAGTACAGGGAAGGTTAATGGTAAGCATTAACTTATAGCAGTGGAAACATTCAGTTTTCAGAAAAGGAAAAATCTAAGCAGCATTTTCTATATATTTTTTTAATTACGCTATGTGAATAGGAACATGTAAGAAATATAAAGTAGGTGTTACCCAAATTTGGCAGTAGAAGTGGAAATATTCTTTAAGGATTTTATACACAGATCTCAAAGTGCTGACTTTCACTGTGAATAAGCTGCTAGCAGGCTTTGAACAGGTTTCAAGCAGTGCTGAAGCTTACTGAAGTCTGCTAGCAGCTTGTTTAACTACTTGCCAACCGCAGATAGCCGAATGAGGGCTACACTGTGGCCGGCCAGTTCTGGTAGGGTGTCCTATGATGTCCTCCCAGAACACGCCCTCAGGGGCACAGACCCGACGATCTCCGTGATCGCTGTATCCTACGGACACAACTGATCACGTGATGTAGTAAAAAGCCAATCACAGCGGCTTTTTACCACGTGATCAGCTGTGTCCAATGACACGCTGATCACCGAGAAATGCAATTGCCGGTTCTCGGCTGCACTTTCCTCATGCTGTCAGAGCGTGAGGAAAGTACTGCCAAGAACCAGCAGTTGTCAGAGCAGGGACCTGATGATCGGTGCCCATCAGTGCCACCCACCAGTTCCGCACACCTGTGCCCAGCAGTGCCACCTACCTGTGCCCAGCAGTGCACCCTCCTGTGCCCAGCAGTGCACCCTCCTGTGCCCAGCAGTGCCACCCACAAGTGCCCATCAGTGCAGCCCAGCAGCGCTGCTGCCCAGCAGTGCAGCCAGCGGTTGCTGCCAGCCAGTTGCCCAGCGGTTGCGCCAGTCATTGCCCAGCAGTTGCGCCAGTCAATGCCTAGCAGTGCCGCTAGTCAATGCCCAGCAGTGATGCCAGTCAGTGCCACCTATCAGTGCTGTCTATCAGTGCCGCCTATCCATGACACCTCATCAGTGCCGCCTATCAGTGCTGCCTATCAGTGCTGCCTCATCAACGCACATCAGTGAAGGTGAATAATTACCTGTTTGAAAAATATTGTAATAGAAACAAATAAACTTTTTTTTTTTTTTTTTTTACTTTTTTTGCAATTTTTTTGTTTATAGCGCAAAAAGTAATGTGCCCAGCGGCGATTAAATACCACCAAAAGAAAGCTCTATTTGTGAGAAAAAAATTATAAAAATTTCATATGAGTACAATCTTGCATGACCGCGTAATTGTCAATCAAAGTGCGACAGCGCTGAAAGCTGAAAATTGGCCTGGTAAAGAAGGGGGTATAAGTGCCCTGTAGGCAAGTGGTTAAAATGACAACCAGCTTAGATGTGTATTGCTAAGCCCTGCAACTGCTGTTCCCTTGCTCCAGTGAGGTTGCCTAAGGGCAAAAAGAGAGTCAGGCCCCCAGTAACAAAGTGAAATGAAATCCGCGTGGGACACGTAAGGCAGTAACAGGCATCATGGTTTCTGCTCTTAGGCAGGCCCTTTTGAAGCTTATGATGGAGTACCGTTTAATTTCTTACATACTATGTTATGTGTGTACATGCTATATGTGTTGGTGATGATTGAAACATCTTAGGACCAGTTATTATATCAAATCATCTTTACATGTAAACTATAATGGTTTGGGGTCAAGTTTGTTTTAGGTTTATGCTTGATTTTTTTTTTAGCACTTGCATGAAATATATAGTGAATTTTCCGTAAGCACATCCTTTTCTTTATTGTTATAGTATTTACTTTAAAAGTAAGTTTTGATGTAACTCACACTTTTAAAGCGTCTCCTTCAATAATTTTAGTACTGTATTAAATATAATAAGTACTTGTTGGATCTTTCTAATTGCTTTCTAAATATGAGTTGGATCTTTCTAAATATGAGTTTTTCATATTGCCAGCCAATGGGTGGACCTCAGAATTCCTTTTCACCTTTTACCAGGCTAACCATAACTGCTTTGCTGAAAAAAAAAATCCTGTTTACAGAACTCATAAAATTATCCCTTTTTTATTTTATTTTTATCCCTTCTAAATTACCTTTTCTTAGAGACCTATGCCAGTAAGGACTCTGTTCAATACATGATGAAAACCCACCGATGTTATTAGCTATATACCTTATGTCTCTTCCACTTATCCTCAGTCTTTATGTTCTAGGCTCTGCGATGTATGAGACGCAGGAAGTTGTCAGAACGACGGTTATCAGAGCTGCAGAATAAACTGGACAATGTGCAGAGCATCCTGGAGAGAATATCGATGGCAGAAACGGACCGCATGGTAAACATTTATGTGACCCCCCCAGAACCACGATACCACCCCATAGTAATGAGATTACAATCCTCTCCTCAGTCCTCCTCTGCTCAGCTGTTTTAAATATTGCTTGTCAGGGGATTGGGAGCCCTTATTAAAGAGGAATTCTAGGTATGGACATTTTATACCTTGATTTATATTTGACTAATATAACTGTATATCTCATACCTGACCTCATACCTCGCATGTAATGACCAAAGCACATGCGGTTTTCCCACTTTTCCTGTGTGAACCCAGGCTGTCATATCCTGAGTTCACAGAGGAGCAGTGTGGGAAACCTCCCTGCATGGATCCCAGGCTGAGCGGAGAGTGAGTGTATGGAGATGTATACTATGGAGGCAGGTTCTCCATTTTCTCAGCAGTAGGAGAGGAGAGAAAGTGGCTGGGATTTGAAATCCCACCGCTTTCTCTCCTCTCCTTGCAGTGATAACAGTTTGGGCTAGAGGACTTTTGATTGGTCCGCACCTTCACGCTTGTATTGACACAAATTGCACCGCAAAGTATCGGTTTTTGGTATCGGTACCCGTACTCGTGAAAATACTCAGTATCAGTGCATCCCTACTACGCAGTAAGTATTTCTGGTCACAATGCACTACTTGTAATCAGATTTTAGGACATCATTTCAGGTTTGTCACTTATTTACAGCTCATCTCCTGTCATTATTTGTTGTGTACATTATACATTAAAAAGCATCTTTTCTACCAATGACAGGTGGTATCTGCATATCAGGTGGGGGTGACAGCACTACGTACTTCACTGAAGGATGTCAGTCTGGAGAAGACAGAGAGCTTAGTGGATCAGATTCAGGAGGTAATGCAGATGATCATTCTTCCCTGTGTGTTTCTTATAAAAAAGCAGGTCGATCTTGCTTGGCACAATAGGGAAACCTGGATTGTCCTGCACTCTAATTGCCCAGCTGCTTATCCCATGTTTGTATTATAAATATAGCGAATGATCCAAAGACCTGGACTTTCCATTAAACGAGGGGACAACCTAATGTCCTGTAAACAGGAATTGATCCAGCAAAAGCCCAGGCAGTAAGTGGGCCATATAACTAGAATTTGGCAGCCATGTATTGTTATTGACAGCAGATATCGAGAAGCACTCTGCAGTGTCTGGTGTATGGCTACTCTGACATAGCAGTCTTTGAGAAACATGTCATTTCAAGTCATCCATTTGTCTAAGAAAGATTGGCCACAATTATTTTGTGGACTATGTATGATGCAAAAACATTGATTGCAAGGCAGAAAATTGCAGGAATTATTTAGCTAAAAATAATGCTTTTACTGTCACTGCTAATATCATTTTAACAATATCTGAAACGCTACATGTGTATTTTATACGATTACATTTTTTTACAAGCAGTGTTTTTGGATGCCTAAGTCCCCATGTTGAATAAATATCATGGCTGAGGTCACCACACTTTTACCTTATGATTCCTAACACTTACAAGATGTAAGAGGCCATTATGGGAGTTTTGGTCACATATTTATTTATTTTTAATCTTTTTTTTACCTTGTTTGTCTCGCTCTTAGAATCTGCAGAATGGTAACCAGAAAGAGGTGTTGGGGGATGGGTGGGGAGAGTGGAAAGGCTTTTTTTTTTTTTTTAGCATTTTCTGTTAAGATTCATATATTTTGTGTACCATATCATGTACAGTAGATATTCATCATCTCCCCTCACAGTCCACAGATCTATATGAGCTGAGCTCTAGGGTCATGTTTGTTTTCTTTATGGACACAGCATGGCACTGAGATTACTTTTACTGCCTTTTGCTCTTTCTTGCAGTTCTGTGACCTTCAGGATGATATTAGCCAGACCTTGGTTGGAGCAGTGCCTGGGAATATTGGTATGTAGTATTCTCTTCGTACATCTTGAGAACTGTAATCAAGTGTGATCTTTAAAGCAAACAACAATATACTTTCCTCCTTGCTAACAGTCTGGGTCTCTTGCTGGCGCCAACATCTCCCTGGGTGCCGGTTTTTTTGAAACTCTATTGGCAGGTGCCGGATGCAGGAGTTGGTCATCCTGGCACATTGGGACTGTGCCGGCGATGTATACTGAATTATGCAGGCAGGCAGGTGGAGTATTATATTGCAGAGAAGACATTGCATGTCACTTCTACAATAATAGCTTGACTGCTTGCAGTCTGTTTTAAAAATGACTCCGCTTTAAAGCTGAGCTCCAGGCAAACATAAGAGACCCCAATAAAAAAGAAGTATGGGTTTCCAGAAAAAAAAAAAAAAAAATAACCTAGGTGGATGCAGCATCGATCCGATGCCTCATCTGTCCCCTGCTGCTTCTTAGACCAAGAACTGAGCAACCAAAGCCGGCTTGTCACTTGGTTCTCAGCCTTCAGTGAGCAGAGAGCCAGTGACTATCACTGGAGCTTCGGGCTGTGAAGTGGCTGGGGCTGGTTCAAGCTCTCAGCGGCTAACTGAGAGGCTGAGCCAGCTACTGGTCCAGGCATCTGGGTGGGTCCCAAATTTAAAGTTGGGATCTTTCCAGAGCCTGGACCATCTGAGTCACGTCACCTGAAACCTGGCTTTGGCCTGCTCTTGGCTGAAAATGGGTTACAGGAGTGCAGAACAAAGTGCACTCCTCTGATCCATAGGAGAAGTATAGCCAAAAAAGATTTGGCCATTCTCCTCCTTTTAATGCAGTTTTATATTTATTGATACATCCTTACATGTATTTTTAAATACAGGCAGTGCGAGTACCTGAACTGATTTGGTAACAGTCTCTTGCAGTCTACTGTACAGTTAGGCTGAGGGAGGGAGAAGCAGCTCAAGGATCTATTCAGTTGTGCTGTAGTGCATGGAGCATGCTGATATGAGAAGAGAGCATGAGATGAGCTTATCAATGTGCTGCTTCTCCTTTCACTGTCTGGTAACAGACTAAGGGGAAAGAGAAGACCTGGAAGTGTTACAGAGCTGCAGCAAAGACAAAATCAGGTCTCTAGCACTTCCAGACAGGGTTGGGCTGTGTGGCAGAGCTGTGTAAATTTTACAACTGGATGGATAGACAAATATTTTGAAAGGTAAAACAGCTTCTTTATATGTATTTCATTTGTGTATGTAGCTCTTTGTCTGGGGTTCATCTTTAAGATGGCCACTCATCAGAACAATTTGAACCCCTGGTACAGGGTAGCACAATTGTTTCAGTCTGCTCTCGCTGTAACATCTGAAAGAAGATTAAAGTGCTTTTAGACCCACAAAGGTTTCTGAATCATTTAAGATGAGAATGTGGTCATATTATCAGAGGCTGCAAGACCTAGTTGGTCCACCAACTTTTGAGGAAAAACAAGGAGACTTTAGCACATTGAGGTTTTTGTTTGGGACCAATACAGTTTCGGGGAAGCCAGATCTTCCATCATTACATGAAATTTCTTATTTTTGATTGGTGGATTTTCAGTTTTGCCTGAACTTAACAATAATCTTCTCTAGTAAAATATTTGTGCAGTGCTAAAATATAAATAATCCTAAAATGTATAAACCATATAACTCATGCAAAAAAATTACAGTCCATATAAAATAAGCTCAAGGTGACTTCAGTATTCCCAAATTCATCAATCTGTAAAATTCGGTGAGAGGCAGGATATAGATAAAATGCGCACTCTCCAGATGCATTTATTTATACACTGCGCAATACCTTTGCGCATCTGGTGAGTGCGCATTTTATCTATATCCTGCCTCTCACCGAATTTTACAGATTGATGAATTTGGGAATACTGAAGTCACCTTGAGCTTATTTATTATGGACTGTAATTTTATGCATGAGATATATGGTTTATACATTTTAGGATTATTTATATGTTAGCGCTGCACAAATATTTTACTATGTCTTTTTGAAGGTTTTATGGTTTCCTTTACGGTGCATAGCTGCTTTTTTATGTTGAGCGCTCGCTGAGTCATTTATTTTAATGATCTCTTATTTGCCACCTTTTGGTCTGTTTACCATTGAAATGTTAATACCCATTGCTCTTGTCAGAAATTCAGAGCTGTCCTGGCTCCTCTGCACACTTTCTGTATTATCTCAAAGGGTTCTCCTAGTTCTCATCTAAAGCTGGCCATACATTAGATCCAAATTCAGCCAGTTCTTGCTGAACTGGCTGAAGTTTGATCAACCTCTGTCTGTTCTCTTCAATGAAGGTTCCTTCTGGACAATTTTTGTTCCAATTAATGCTCGCAGCTAATGTCATAGAGTTCTGAAAGTAGGAGTGGTTCAGTAATTTACCAAAAGGCACGTAGCAGGACTGACAATCCGCAGCCAACAAAATGCTGCATATTGTCAGCCCACAGTAGGACTTGAGTGCATTTCTGGCAGATCAACCAGTTTTTTTCTATACATGTGGGATGAGATATTGAGAAAGATGCATGTGTTGCATAGATGCACTGTATATCTTTTCTTTTTTTTTTTAATACTGCTTGACGCTTTAATACGCTCTAAACCTTAAATGAACTCTTCAATTTGATGGGTCAAGTCCACGTAGCAAGCAAAAATCAATATGAAAGTAAATACTCGGCTGGTAACTACCGTAAATACTCGAGTATAAGCTGAGTTTTTCAGCACATTTTTTGTGCTGAAAAACGGCCCCCTCGGCTTATACTCGAGTCAACGTCTGCTGTCTCTTACCTGGCTCCCACGATGATCCATCCAGGAAGCGCTGCTCCTTCCGTCACTCCGGCCACTCCCTCACTCCTGCCGCTCGGCTCCGCCTCCTCACCGGTGATTGGCCGCCAGAACTGTAGCTCAGGAAAGGTACACAGGCGGCCAATCACGGGCGAGGAGGCGGAGCCGAGCGGACCCACGAAAATCGAGTGAGGGAAAAGCCGGTAAGTGTGCAGTGCAGAGGTGCTGCTGCAACCACATATGCTGGCTGCAGCAGCACCATACTGCAACAGGGGTCAGCAAGTGTCATTGGTGTCAGTGGGAGGAATAGTGCCGCATCATTGGTGTCACTGATACTAATGATGGGGCATTATTCCTCCCACTGACACCAATGATGGGGCACTATTCCTCCCACTGATACTAATGATGGGGCATTATTCCTCCCACTGACACCAACGATGGGGCACTATTTCTCCCATGATACCAATGATGGGGCACTATTCCACCCACTGACACCAATGATGGGGCACTATTCCTCCCACTGACACCAATGATGGGGCACTATTCCTCCCACTGACACCAATGATGGGGCACTATTCCTCCCACTGATACTAATGATGGGGCATTATTCCTCCCACTGACACCAACGATGGGGCACTATTCCTCCCAGTGATACCAATGATGGGGCACTATTCCTCCCACTGACACCAATGATGGGGCACTATTCCTCCCACTGACACCAATGATGGGGCACTATTCCTCCCACTGATACCAATGATGGGGCACTATTCCTCCCACTGATACCAATGATGGGGCACTATTCCTCCCACTGACACCAATGATGGGGCACTATTCCTCCCACTGACACCAATGATGGGGCACTATTCCTCCCACTGACACCAATGATGGGGCACTATGCCTCCCACTGATACCAATGATGGGGCACTATGCCTCCCACTGACACCAATGATGGGGCACTATTCCTCCCACTGATACTAATGATGGGGCACTATTCCTCCCACTTTATTTTTTACATTGACTAGTAGGTGCCTCATTTCCCACCCTCGGCTTATACTCGAGTCAATAGTTTTTCCCAGTTTTTTGTGGTAAAATTAGATACCTCGGCTTATATTCGGGTCGGCTTATACTCGAGTATATACGGTATATAAAAAAAAAATTAATTTTTTTTTATTTCTTTAAGATACCTTTACAGAAGCAGTTTGTCACTTCTCATGCTTTACATATTGTCTCTTTGCAGATGTGGATGCTGATGATCTGGAGAGAGAGTTGAACGAGATTCTCCAGGAAAATGATACAGACCTTCCCGATGT